CAGATTAAATCTGTACCTGTCACAGAACTGCTCTTGCAGATGCATCTGCTGCAAAATAATTACCTCTCTTGAGCCCAGTAAGCTAATCAATGTCTTTTGTTTGTGTCTGCAGTGGAAACAATTAAAAGCTCATTTCCTGTTTTTTAGGTAAACTTACAGATTCTCTGATTTTTAGGGATAATTAGATTCATTTTGATGTGTATCACAGTCCAAAGTGTTCCTGTTGGACAACTAGCTGTCTGTAATATAATTTACCAGGATGTAATTTCTTTTCAATCACTTTTTTAACTTGACATGGTCTTTTGCTAAAGAGTTCAAAATCATTTTGTCTCCTTCATTGTAAATTGCATTTAAAAAGCTTAGGGCTCTTTGTACAAACATAAGAAATGCCATTATTTGCATTTATTTCGAATTTTCTTTAAATTAATTTTCTGCAACATGAGAAAAAAATTCTGTAACATAGCTGAGAAAATAAACACTGCTACTACCTTAGTCTATGAAAATCTGCCTTGGGAGTCTGATCTCAAACACAGTGAGATGTGTGCACTGGGTAAGTGCTGGCAGGTAGAGAGGGCCTCTCTGAGAGGGGCAGTGGATGTTAGAAAGCAGCTACTGGTGATGCCACTTAATTCCTGGAAGCACGTGTGAAATTCCCAGCGGATTTCCACTGAGGGATTTCCAGTAGAGATTTTACTCCGTGCGGTTTGCCAGGTCCATCGGAATGGCTCAGTATCATGTTGTGGGTTCACGGGGGGATAAATCTCACCCCTCCGTGCTGAAATTCCATGAGCAGGCTGGACAGTGCTAGACTGGAATGTGGTGCTGCTCTGCTCATGGCCCAGGGCAGCAGAACCTGCATCTTCCCTGGGATCAAGGCTGCCAGGGGCACAGGGATGGTGTGTGGTGCACCCATTTTCTGCTCCGAAGGCTGCCTTGGATCCTGGACCAGGCGAGCATCACACCTCACGCACATGAGCTGTTTTAAGCATGGAATGCTCATCACACAACTGAGCTCACAGTGTGAATGGTGTGAATGCTGCCACAAAGGGTGGCACTTGGAAAGGAAGCAGGACAAACTGATGACATCATTTCTGCCAAACCTCTCTGCAAGGTAGCAAACATGCCTTTCCTCCTGCTTTGCACAATCCCTGCTCCGCCAGGACAGACCACTCTTTTACTGTCTTTATTTTGACTCAGTGCTGCCTGTAATGTGTCAGTGTTTATTGACCATGAGCAGATTTAAATAGCTTTTCCCTGTGCCTTCTTTTCCTCGTGGCTTGGCAGGAGCATGAATAAGCCTTCATTGTTGAGGTGAAGGTTAAAAAAACCACCCAAACCCCAAAAAATCCACAAGGTCTTTTAAACTCTATAGTACATGTCAGTGATGATACAGTTGGGTTTAAAAGGAAGTAACAAGATCACACCCCGTGATTAACCTTGCATGCCTTCTTTAGGATGGCTTTACTTTGCTCTTTGTGCTCTGCTTGTGCTTATATGTTGGCATTAGATCACAAGTGCTGCTGTCACTAAAATACACCTTTTGCTTCCACCTCTGTTTGAATACCTTAATCTCTGAATTGTTTCAAGACTGTGCTGCAGCAGACCGACCTCTTGTTTTTTATTATAAAGAATAAGTGACAGTAGCTACAGAGGGGGCAGTGAGCCTCTGCACAGACAGACGGATATTTGTTTTATTTTAATTCTCAGTGACCTTTATTTTATCCTGATTCAATTGCTTACTCAAGGGCACCAGCATTTTTTGTGCCTTTAATGCATTAAACATTTTTCCAACTAAAGGAAGTGTCAGATATATCTCTTGTTGTCTTAAGAGTCACGATTAACCTTCAGCAGTGAATGTACCCAAGAGGAAAAATGTGAAAGTGGAAAGTGGATTTGTTTGTAGAGTGGAGAAAATAAAAATCTCTTGTGCTATGAACGTACCAGTTTTAAACCCTCAGAGCTGAGGGATCCCTCGAAAAGTCAATTTTATTTTCTGACAGCTGTTCCTGACTTAATTTAATTAATGGGAAATGTACATAGCCACCTTTTTTGTAAGTTAATAATGTCCAAGTCGTTTTTGAATATGAGCGTTTTCTGATATGCTTTTGTTTGTGTACCTTGTTTAAGAGGCTCAAGTGTCTATACACTGTGCAGGAGTGTCCTCTGTTGCAAAGGTACTGAGATTTTGCAGATGGCTTGTGAGAAAATGAAAGAGATTAAGGAAGCAGGTTGTCTAGGTAGTGGAATACAAATTAACTACTTACATCCTCATGTTGTCCACATTTGATCTGAAAAAACCCTATTAAGCAGCCTTTGAAGACCAATCCCAAAACTTGAGCTGAAAATGTTCACTGAAGCCTTTGTTTCAGAATTCTCTGTTTTATTTGTAAATAACACAGATGTATTTACTACAGTCACAGAATCCAATCTGTTTGAATTATTTTTTCTTTAGGCCTCCTAAAACAAAATTCTTGAGCTGATCATGAACTTTAGGGATTAAAAATAGTTTTAAAAAAATCACCCCAATGTATGATCTGCTAATTTATCTGGACTGTCAAACCCCACCCACCAACCAATGTCAAATAAGAACCAGGAGACTTTAGCTTGTACTGGAACACAGGTGTCAGGAATGTCTTCAGTTCAGATGCAGGGAGTTGACCAGTGGTAAACTTCCCATTTGATTTGAAAAATGGAATCTACCTTCACTGTTAAGGCTCTGTTTTATATCATACACATATCATACTATCCAATTATATCATTGAATAAAAATGTCAATTTTAAGGCATTCACTATGTTAAATATTTGCTTTTTCCTTTGAATAGGTGAATGGCTATATTAATATGATTAATATTATTGGTTATGTTTGTATTATTGTTTACCAGGAGTGCTAATCAGTAGTGACTTGTCATTAATTCATTGACATTTTTAAAAGAAGAGGAAATGTTACTCTGTGTGTGAATTTTCATTGTTCAAACACCACTGTGAAAAATTAGATTTCATAGCAGTTGGCAGATGTTTCCATTGCTGGTGTGAGTTTCACAGTTTGATCAAAATTATCTTAAATTTTCTGTATTTTAGCCACATTATAATTTGACTATAAGTAGAAATGGTCGATCAAGATTTGCACAGCTCTGTCATGCCAGATTTTTAGGTGGTGTTAACCCTCCTTTCTCCATCACTGAGAAGTAGTCTAGCAGTTCAGGATGTGCACATGGATTTGGAAAACTTACCTGGTGTGTTGTTCTTTACTATTTTTATTTATATTGTTTAATATATATGCATGCAAATACCAGATGGATTATAATTTTTAAAGTTTTGTCTCTTTCCCTGTCCTTCTACTTGCATGATTATTTTTGAATGAAGTAGGTATTTTCAGTTAGGCAATCTTATGGCCTAAGGTGGGTGAAAATTGTTTCCTCTAATAAAGAAACATTTGAATTACTGTGACTTTCTCTGGTTTATCTGTCCCTCTGTTCACCTTATTTTGCAGGAATGAATTCATGTTTCTCTCCACAAGTGTTTGTGAACATTATGAGATGTTTTCAAACTATGTGTGGCTAGAAGTGTGGTGAACAATTGGGTGGTTGCAGTAACTGTTTGTCAGTAGTTGAAGGTGTTACTAAAAACTCCAAGGAAGTGCTTCATGCACAGCACCAGGCTCTTTCCTGACAGTGTGTGTGCAGCCTCTCAGGAGAGCCACATTGGTGCAGAATTGCTGTGGGATAATAATATGGGATGGGCAACATGGAGTTTTATTTTGTTTGTTTTGTAAACAGGATCTGGGCTCTCACGTGCCTTCATAGTTTGTCCAAAGTTGTGCCCACAATTAATTCAGGTGAAATGTTTGATTTGGGGCAAACCGAGAGGTTTGAGTGCACCCAGATCTGCTCATGGGTAAGAAGTTTTCTTAAAAAGGGGGACTGGTAGGCTGTACAGCCAGTTAGAGAGATGCAGACAAGTCTGGAGTGACTGAAACCTTTTACTATCTGGCCTTTAAGGGCAAAGCTGAATTATAGCAGGGAAATGCCTGCATTGCCAAGCCTTTCTTGTGACTGGCTGAGAGGTCAAAGTGAGGAGATAGGAATGGAGACTGCTCTAGTTGCTTGCTCAGTGATTTTTCTTCTTTCTAGCTTTTAAAGTCATACTGCTTTTTAAGGACTTTTTCCCTTCTGCTCTGCACTTCAGGTTTTCTTAATCTGTTCAGAGGCAGATGAAGTACCACAGCCATGACACCACCTAAGGAAAGTTTGGCAGGGGATCGCAGCCTATTAAGGGCCTGAGGATTCACTCCCACTGCACTCCTTACATTATAACCATTTCCAATTTCAGTTTTCAGGTGCTTGGTTTAGTAGCGACAGACTGCAGAAAGCTGACTGATTAACGGCAGAAGACTTCTGTTCAAAACCTAATTTTCCATCAAGCTGGTTCTGATGGAAGAGATTTTCAGTGATTCCCTAAACAGCATGTACATAATTAAGAAACAGCCCTTGTGGTTCTCAAGCCTCCAGCATTTGTGAATGGTCTTATAAATGTGCCTATTGCTCTAGTCCAATAGTCTTTCTATTCATTATTTCATTTTGAGTAATACTGCAGGAAAATTAGATGTCTTGAGTGTTTATTCGGTGTACTTTCAGAGTGGCAAACCAAAATGTCACAGGCTAGTGATGAACAAATATCTCTAAGTTATTAAACTTGTATATCTTGCTTGCTTCTTATTGTAATCTGTTCAGTTTGCATTTTCTGTCCCTTGAAAATTTCCTTGATGACTGATATATCTGACACTCTGATTTTTTCAATGTGAGGATGTTTCATTTATTAGCCTGTGGAAAACTCATAGGTGGAGATTGGTATCTTGCTTCCATTCTTATTTTTGAGTCTGTTTTTTTCATTTTTTGATGGGTGTCTGATGCACAAGCTTCCTCTGGTAATGCAGAAGTAAAAAAAGCCCCAAGCTGTGTGATCTCACAGCCCACACAGCAGGGCTACGGAGAGGACAGAGATGTAGGTCTGCTCTTTCCGTGCCAAGGCACTCCAGGCTGGCACACCTCTGCACAGCCTGTTCCATGCATGTAGTCACATCAGGCCTGCAGGGAGACTGGGAAAATGCCTCGCTCTACCTTCAGATCTTCACCAGAATATCAGTAGTTTTCTTTACCTTTGTACCTGTACTGGCCTGTGCTTTTTAAGATTATTTCTTTGTGGGTTTTCCCTGCTTCTGCTTCTTAAACAAGAGCAAGCCTTTCTGTGTTTGTCTGACATGCAGCATATTTTCAGGAGCATGACACAGACAAGAAGCATGGTTTTCAGATCATCTTGTTGCAAGTAAATTCAGGAACACTCTTCAAGTGTTCCTCTGTTGTTCTTCATGTAAGATCAATCCTGACTGGAGGTAAAGACCTTTCATCTGCAGAAGTACAGACTGCACATGTTCAGCTATTTCAATCCCATCTAGAGAGAATCAGTCCATCTGTAAGCATTTCTTGTAGTATTCCCGCACTTGTGCTTTTGGCCTTAAGACAAAAATGAAAGATCAGGACCTTAAAATCTGAGAACCAAGAGGTACCTCTCTTGTTTTTCTGTTGTACAACTTGCAGTGATCTGCTGCTGAAGAATTAGCAAAGTTAAAGCTTAGATAACATTGTTTTCCAAAGAGCTAAAATCTCTATGGCTTCTTTTAAATTTGGTAAGAGCATCTGTGTATTCAGCGCTCCTGAAAAATCAATCCACTGATTTGGGATGTGAACCTAAATAATAAGTTGATAGAAAGTTAACAAACTCCCACAGATGCATTTTACTAAGAGACACACAGGTGTGCAGGTTAGAGGGAGTAAAGAATTGGGAGGAAGTTGTGTTTAAGCCGGCCTGCACCTTCTTCTGCCTTATGTGACTCAGTTTCCTGCCTCCATAGGTTTTAGAACATTTTCTCTTCCCCCCAGCAGCTGATCTGTGGTACCCAGGCATCAACTCCACATCAGGATTTAGGTTTCCAAGTGCAGGGCCTCCCATGAACATGACTAATGAGACTGTTACAGGTCATAACTCTTTTCTTCTCAAAAGTATTTACGAGTAGTATAATTTTACCTACAATTCAAGAGGGATGCTTAAAAAATACCTTGCTTTGCAGTGTTTTCTTGGTCAAAAACTGCACTTCTGCCTATGATTCTCATGTCACTTGTGTCCACAGTTGTGCATAACTGGTTGGAAGCAGAGCTGAAATGCCTGTGAATCTCTTCAATGGAAACTATATTTATGTTTGTGGGTGCTAACTTTGTAATGAATTGGACTTTCAAGTGCTGTAATGGCAAGGGAAGGCAGTGTACACTGAACAACACCCCACGCCATCTCCCTTTCCAAGTTCACACAATCTTTAAATAAAGCAAATATTTTGCTAATTTTTATGTGATATGTTGGTCTTCTAGTCTGTTCTTCTCATTAAAGAAACACTATCATGGCAGGCTCTTCCTCTTCTATTTTAGCTGAATGAATAGCATCATATTCTGGGAGTTTTTCCCAGGCAAACTGTCGTGCGTGCCACTCTGCAAGGAGATGCAGAAGGTAGAATTTTTGTAAAGTGATTTGAGACTTGAGCAGTTGATCTCCAGTGATAGCTGTCTGCTTATTCCTACTCCTGCTAAAGGCATCAGCTGAAGATTGTTGGTCCTCGTGCTTTCTGAAAACATGTAACTGAATGAAAGACAAAGTGTTTCATATATCAAGAAAGGATATTGCTTTGGGTTTTCTTTTCTTTTTTAATAGTTGTGAATACAGGGATATTGTCTTACTCAGTAATACTTGTGATCTGTGGCTGCTTCCTGTGATTGTCAGTGGCCATTACTGAATATTTCACAGTAGGTGGTGGTTCCCCTCTCTTTATTTCAGCCCCATCCTCAAAAGTGGGTGTTTGCAGCACACAATGTGCTGCCTGTTGGGCCCTATTCTTGCCTCTAGCAGAGGGTTCATTAAAGCCCCAAAGAATGGGATTTAATAACTCTTCCAGATTTTTTTTGCTAGACTTGTCTATGATCACTAATTCTCATCCAGATAGATTTCCAAGTCTGCTTTTAGTTTCAGCTCACAACTTCATCAGTTCTGAATGGCCACATCAGCAAAATCTCTAGAAGTGCGGTATTTTTTCTTTGTCTTGCCAGAAACAGGAAGGATTTCTCCTTTACCTTAGAACTATGAAGAAAATTGTCTTTTCATCAATCCCTCTTCCTCTCTACAAGACATCTCCTCAGATGACTCGTTTCCCAAGGATTTTCTCAGCTCTTAGCTCAAGGGGTTGGCATAAAAAAAATCCTTTTCCAGATTCTGGAGTTAACAAGCTAGTAACCAAACTGAGGGGCTGAATAAAAATTTCATCCCTCTTAGTTTAATAGGGTTCCCTAGGAAGTGCTTCATGTGTCGGAAAGCCAACAGTTCATGAAAAGCTAACTCTCTATAAATAATCAGCTGGGAAAAAAAAGAGGATAGACAAGACTGGAATTTACAAATTTTAGGCAGGAAAAAATATAAACAGAAACAACTACCGTTTGCTTCAGCTGTGCAATGTTAATCAAGTGGGAAAGCTTCTTCAGGCACCATAGAACACAGATTTCCCCCATAAAATTCTTTACAAATCTTAAATAGTGAAAGTCAAGGCAGGCAGGATTGTTTCTCACCAGTTTCAAGCAGCAGACTTTTGCTTTTATTCTGAAATAGGATAAGCTTAAAGACAAATTTGATCTGGGGCTAAATTAGAGCCTTCCATGTATGAAAAAGCAACACTGGAAGTTACAGATTAAAAGAAGGAAAAATCAGTCATTTTATTTAAAGGCTCCTGCCTGCTCCCAGGAGGACAGGGGTCAGATCTGATGCAAGTGGTGAGTCCTCCCTGTGGGCAGAGCGATGCTGTGGTCATGGTTCTGAGGGACTTGACATGAGTGGATTGTTCTTACCTTCACCAACAGAGAAGGCAGAGAGGCCTGGCTTGGGGATGCTGGCGTTGGATCCTGTCTGTCCATAATTGAAAGCCCACTGAGATGTTTGGCTGTGGCTGAGGAGAGGGTGGTCTAGCACAGCATTGCTGTGTCTGTGCATATGAACTTGCCTGGTGCTGTTCTTACAGTCACTTCTCTGTGCTCTCCTAATGCCTAATTAGAAGCTGAGCAATTAGCTCAAAAAGCCTTAGCAGAGTTTCCTTTTGGAAATTGGTGCCTTTGGTGTTACACAGACAAGGTGAGTCTGGCTGAGTTCCCAAGACATTGCATGTAATAGGAAAGCAGCAGATAGTAGCAGTTTAATAAGGCCCCTTGATGCCCTTATCTGCTGGATAATAACTTTAATTGACAGTTAATGTTTTCAGCTGCATAAACATTTGTCAATTATTATTTATGCTTCAGAGAAAGGTTACTCTTGATAATAGAATCTTTAACCTCAGATCTTAAGCAACTTTTTTAAAATCACAATTTGAGACAAATAGAATGCTTTAGGACTTTTTTACTGGTTACAGAATCATGTAAATTAAACCACTCTAAATATACCTATTTGAAGAATTCTTAACTTCGCGATTTCTATTTTTAGAATGATTATGAGTTCCAAGGGAATAATTTACCTTGTAAAAATAAAATCTCAGGCACCACAGTTGTGTTGCTGCCCATCTCTGGGATCTTTGCAATGAGAGAAGTTCCTGTATGCTGTTGCACTTACAGCAGCTGTTCATGGACATTTACATCCAATGCCCATTGGTCTGGGGCCTCGTTGAGGATGTATCATCATCAGGCTTGTGGGGCACAGTAAGTGATGGTGTTTATGCTGCTGCTGCTGCTGCTTCTGCCCATTCCTATTGCCCTGGACTGTGGGGCTTGGTTGCTTAGAGACAGACTTATGAGATGACAGTGGTGTTTATCTCTTGACTCTCAGCAAGTAAGGAGTGTTAATTTGTAGTTCATATTGTAGCCGACTTTCTCTTTGGTTTATTAAATCCAGTGTGTTCAGTGCATTCTCTGAAAGCTTTCATTTAGCTGAGTTTTCCAGTTGTCTTAAAAGTATGGCACAGCAGGCATCGGATGTGAGCTCCCAGAGCAGGGCAGAGATTAATACCAAGTGTGACATTTGGAAGAGTGTCTAGGGGAATGCACTATGCCTGCATATTGCATTTCAAAAGCACTTTACCACTTGCCAGCCTTTTTATTTTTCTCGAATTTCAAATTCCTATGGGAGTTAGACTGAAAGGGAAGAGTTTTTACGCTTCTCTAAAATAACTGCTTACATCTTATTGCGTGCAAATTAACTCCCCCCTCCCCAGCTTTTCACACCATAAATGTCCAGCAGACAGAATAAAAAAGCAGGGAACCTGACACAGTACTGAGCTATGCCCAGTGGAATTCCTCTGTCGCTGTCTCCCTTTTCTACTCCAATCCCCAAATTCCTCCAGCCTCATCCTTCCCTTCTTGCTGCGTTTTGCCCACCCTTACCTTCTCCAGTTATCCTGACAGAGCAGCCAACATTTGCAGAGCTCCTGGCCAGCTCTCAGCAATGAGACAGATGTGCCTTTCCTGTGGGCTGGTGGATGAAGAACATTGCAGGTTATGTCGTGTGTAAAGCAGAGTCTCACAGATATGATCTTGTGGGCTACAGTCTACTGCGTAATATGACAGGAGAAAGCCAGTTGGTGTGTCATGAGGGAGGCAGCAAAGTAGCAAGGCTTATTATGTTCTTGTTTTCACTTTCAGTTCACAATTTAAATACCCTCCAGGGATAAAATTTCCCTGCTTATAACAGTCATTTTGAATGATAATGTCATTGAAAATTTCATTTTTCCTTTGCACAGGAAGACAACAGCTGTTTTCTGCAAGGCAGAGAGGTGCGCAGAGAAATCGTAATCTCTGCCACAATTCTTCTATACTGTACAACAGAGGCTTTAGCATCTATCATTTACTCAGAGTGGTGCATGTTTGTGCAGCACCTAGCAGAATGAGACTTGTTTTCTCCATACTTGTCTTTTTTGTGCTATTCCAATTGAAATGTAGTAATAGCAGTCATACAGTGCAAATATATTGCAGTTCACGTAAAGGGATGTAATCAGCAGTTCATGCTTGGGTTTTTAACTGTTGCAATCAGTGGAAATGTTATTAATGCAAGCAAGGGCAGTAAAATTTTGTCCCAAAACGTCTAGCTTTGCAATGTCTGAGTACTTAGGTATGCAATACCTGGCAGGCTAACATTCTGTGTGAGACTGGGGGAGAATGAGCTCCTGCCAAATTCGTCCTAAATTTCTTCTTTCTTCCCTGAGCAGAGGGGAGTTGCATTACCATGATACGTGCACTCTCACTGCAAATCAGCCAGGTGGAAAGAAAACAAAATGCTTTTCTCTGCATTAGCTGTCTCAAGTGCTCAACACATGTCATTGTGAGGTGCATGGGCATGTAGGGAGTTCAGCTGTGACGTGGGACTTGTCCCTGCCTCTCATAGAGACAGATGCATCCCAGAAATCATGCCATTTGGCACAGATTCAGTGTCAGTTGGGAGCTCTGCTCAAGCCCAAGTAGTATCACCTCTGCTTGAGCTTTCCCATGCCATATGGACATGTCTGATGGAGAAGCAAGAGGGATTTTCTAGGAGTAGTGAGAGGGCTGTAGCAACTCTCAGGGAGGTCATCTGTGTTTACTTGTTTTAGCACTTCATAGCAACCACAAATATATAAAGACCCTTCCTTATTTGTGGATGATTGCAGTCACCCCAGGTACATCCTGGCAGGTTGATAATAAAAGAGAAATAATACAATCTGGGAGAACTTCTGCATGGCCCTCTAAAAAAGGGATGGGTACCACTGATCAAAACAATGGGTAACTTTTGTCCTTCTTGTATGACTCTTCTGCGTATCATTGCCTGTGGATGTTGGGAATGTGTTGACTTTTAACTGTTGACAAGTCACGATGGAGAGAAGACTCATGGGTAGAAAGAGCTTAGATACAGGTGTCAGTCCAGGGCAAGAAGTGGCTGTCTTCCTCTCTGATGGGAAGCTTATGTCTGTGATCTCTTGGCATAAAATCATGGTGGTGCCTTGGGCAAGACAGTATTTTAAGCTCTGACATCTGAGTCCATAGCTGGAGTTTGTCTTCCCAACTAGAACATAGGAGGTGAGACCAGGCTTGCTAGGGATGAGCCTAGGGGTGACATGCCAGAGTTAGGGACAAAATTGGTAAGGAGGGCCAAGGAAAACCTCCATTCTTTATTGGACGTGAAGGGGAATATAGTCACCAAAGATGAAGAAAAGGCTGAGGTACTTAATGCCTTCTTTGCCTCAGTCTTTAACAGAAAGATTGGTTATCCTCAAGACAGCTGGCCCCCTGAGCTGGAAGCAGGGATGGGGAGCAGAATAGCCCCCCTGTGACCCAGGACGGGGTAGTTAGTGACCTGCTGAGCCACTTAGATGCTCACAAGTCTATGGGACCAAAAGGGACCCATCCTAGGGCACTGAGGGAGCTGGCAGAAGAGCTCACTAAGCTGGATCAGTCCTGGCTAATTGAGGAAGTCCTAGATGACTGGAGGTTGGCCAGTGTGATGCCCATCCACAAGAAGAGTCGGAAGGAGGATCTGGGGAACTACAGGCCTATTGGCCTGACCTTGGTACCTGACAAGGTTATGGAGCAGATCATCTTGAGTGTAATCACATGCAGGACAACCAGGGTATCAGGCCCAGCCAGCAGGGATTTAGGAAAGGCAGGTCCTGCTTGACCAATCTGATCTCCTTTTATGACCACATGACCCACCCAGTGGATGAGGGAAAGGCTGTGGACGCTGTCTGCGTGGACTTGACACCATCTCCCATGGCATTCTCCTGGAGAAGCTGGCAGCCCATGGCTTGTACAGGTGCACCCTTCTCTGGATTAAGAACTGGCTAATGGAAGGACCCAGAGAGTGGAGGTGAATGGTGCTGCATCCAGTTGATGTCTGGTCACTGGTGGTGTCCCCTAGGGATCAGTGTTGGGCCCAGTCCTGTTTATTATCTTTACTGATGATCGGGATGAGGGGATGGAGTATACCCTCAGTAAACACCAAGTTGTGTGGGAGTATTGACCTGCTGGAGGGTAGGAAGGCTCTGCAGGGGGATCTGGACAAGCTGGATAGATTGGCCAAGGCCAACAGTATGAGGTTCAAAAAGGCCAGGTGCCAGGTCCTTCACTTTGGCCAAAACAACCCCATGCAGCGCTGCAGGCTGGGGGAAGAGTGTCTGGAAAGTGGTCCAGCAGAAAAGGACCTGGGAGTGCTGGTTGACAGCAGGCTGAACATGAGCCGGGTGGCCAAGAAGGCCAATGGCATCCTGGCTTGTATCAGGAACAGTGTGGCCAGCAGGTCCAGGGAAGTGATTCTTCCCCTGTACTCAGCACTGGTGAGGCCACATCTCGAATCCTATATCCAATTCTGGACCCCTCAATTCAGGAAGGACATTGAGGTGCTGGAGCGAGTCCAGAGAAAGTCAGTGAAGCTGGTGAAGGTCTGGAGAACAAGTCCTATGAGGAGCAGCTGAGGGAGCTGTGGTTGTTCAGCCTGGAGAGGGGGAGGCTCAGGGGAGACCTCCTCACTCTCTACAACTACCTGAAAGAGATTGTGGCCAGGTGGGGGTCAGCCTGTACTCCCAGGCAACCAGCAACAGGATGAGGTTTAGGTTGGACACCAGGAAGAATTTCCTCACAGAAGGGGTGATTAGACATTGGAATGTGCTGCCCAGGGAGCTGGTGGAGTCACCGTCACTGGAGGTGTTTAAAGAAAGACTGGACATGGCACTCAGTGCCATAGTCTAGTTAACATCGTGGTGTTCTATCATAGGTTGGACTCAGTGATCTCAGAGGTCTTTTCCAACCTAATCAATTCTGTGATTCTGTGATCACTGACTTTACAACATGGGGATGTGCTCTAGCATCATCTAGTCAACATCGGCTTGAACTTCAGTCACTACCATGAACATAAAGGCTATTTGTATGTCTCCAGATTAACTTAGTTCAAAAAAATTATTTGCTTTTCTCATTCTCATAGTTTTCTTGGTCCTTGTTTAGGGTGACACAATGGAGGCACACAGAGAAATTCAGCCCTGGCTCCAGGTTATCCACAGTGTGTGCTCAGTCAGATGGCTGAAAGAGGCCAAGGGCTGAACCATTTACAGATGGGGTTTGCTGCCTTACTGAACGTGGCTGCTCCAGTAGTGTGCAACACCTGAGAGCACCAGAGCAGCTCTGTGTGGGTATAGGATTGGCATTCATTTTGATGGGTTTGGACTCAAGCTCCATCTATGCAAGGAGTCATTCCTAAGACATAGGGCAAATGATTCCTGCCCAAACCAAGCAACTAATTGCCCTTTTCACAGAACTGCTGATGACAAACCACTGTGCTTTAGCTCTCCTGTACTCAGGTCTACAGTATAAATCTCCCAGTCCCTCATAATAGTATGGGCCTTTGTGTACTGGGTGGGAGGGGAACCACACACTCAGGGTTCCTGGGAAGGCAGTCAGACAGTAGGAGAGAGTAGGAGGCTTGTACAAATCCAGCTACAGACATAACAGAATTTCAGCTGCTGGCATCCAGCTAAGCCCCTGCAAGGCATAAAGACAGACAACACCAGCTCTAGTGAAGCAGCTGCACGGATCACTGCCCACCTGAATTAGGGGGATTTCTTTCCCCAGAAAGCCAGCAGTGTCACTGCTGTTTGAAGGATATCTTATTTTACAGTCTGACTGTATGTGCATGAACACAGTTATACAGAAACTCAAACAACTACGTGAGCTGCTTTTGTATAGGTGCAAATAACAATATGGCAGAACTGTTGCATTACTGAAAGTGGCCCAGGCCCAAAGCAGGATTTGGTTCTATGCTTCGGGCAATGGGGTTATGTGCTGGTACCAGATGGAGCTTTTAAATTTTCATCAGCAGGTTTATGAACAGAAGAATACCCTTTTATCCACCCCCAGGTCTTTTACTAATAAGGTGCAAATGCTGAACTTCAATTAGCATGGAGTGGAAGTGCAGATGAAATAATACACTTTCTTACTGATGATTATCTATCATGTGAGAGTGAAATAGAGATATGAATAATGACCTGTTTCAGTTTTTTGGAGCTTTTCTGTTGGGTTTTTTCCCCCTTTCATGCTTAGTAGTATAATTGTGTGAAAATAGCTAAAAATAATGAGCCAGATTCTCTGGTGATTAAATTCTATTACAGGCAAACAGAGGGAGAGTTTTGAGCCCTGCTCATCTTTGCATTGACTTCTGTAGGTGTTGGGCCAAGCCAGGACAGGGGTGTGTGACAGCTGTGTTGTTCAGCTCGCCATGGAGGTATTTTACAAAAGAATTTACAAAACTACATTTTTCCTGCTGCTGAGAGATGGCCAGAGAGGTCTAAGCTTTGCAGCAGCATTGTGCATTATCAGGGAATCCCAGTTTTCTTGAGGGGTGCAGGTGCATGGAGAGGCAAAGGGGTTGATTAATTGAGTGCTGTCTTTGCCTTTAGCAGCATATTTGCTGGCCTACAATGTGTGCTTGTGTGCTGTACATGTGCCCCAGATGAGAAGCTTTTTCTGGACCCTGCAGGCATCCGGCTACTCTGCTTGTTCCCTGTGCTTTATGAATCATTCAGGTTTCAACAGCAGTGTCAGCTCTTTAGAGGGCGTTGAGTAAGGTTCTCTACCTTAACTGATATCTCCTAGGGAGGAAAAGGTCAGTCTCGGCACATAGCTGGAGAACATATTGGGAAATTGTCAGGAAAGCTGAGGAAAGGTGCAGCTTTGTGAGGTATAGATTGCTTGTGGGAATTCTACATCCAAGCCTTTCATGTCACAGAAACGTAGAATCATGGAATGTTAAGGGATTGGTATGGACCTTAAACACTACATAGTCCCAACCCACTGATATGTGCAGGGACACCTCCCACTAGACCAGGTTGCCCAAGGCCTTATCCAGCCTGGCTTTGAACACTGCCAGGGTTAGGGCATCCAACCCTGTTGGATGTCTTGCCTTAAGGAGGTTTTGCTGGAAAAGTAATCCATTGAGAGGATAGGGTCTACTGTTGGAAAATAGAGATACATAAATTTGAATAGTAACTGAAAGAAAACTGTTCTCCCAATAATAATAATTGAGTATGTTGTGATGAATCAAACCCCAAAATATACGTCTGAAATACTTACTGGTCTTTTCTTCGATGATTGTGCTTCAACAGAGGGTGTCTGCTCTATAGGCCATTCTGGCTTTAGAATAAAATAGCGTAGAATCGTTTAAGTTGGAAAAAAACCTCTAAGATCATTGAATCCAACTATAAACCTCGTAATGCCAAGCCCACCGCTAAACCGTGTATTCAAGTGCCACATCTACACATTGTTTAAATACCTCCAGGGATGGTGACTCAACCACTTCCCTGGGCAGCCTGTTTCAATATTTGAGAACCCTTTCCATGAAGAAATTTTTCCTAATAGCCAAACTAAGATCGCGGGAGAAAGGCAGAGCAAGAGCAGCATTGCAAAGGTCTCCCCTGACAACGTGAAACCAAGAGGAATTTTTCTCTTACCCTGGTCGTGTAGGCTCGAGACTTGTAGCTGGAGGCAGCTGCTGCTCTTTTACAAAATGTGGCTGTGAGCAAGAAGTAGCAAGAAGACAGCACAGGGGTTTACAATTGCCACAGGGCTCTTGAGTGCAAATGCCACTTGATTCAATTATCAGAGATGCATGAGGCTTCAGTTCTAGCTTAGCATTGGCACCAAGGCTGAGAGATTATTGAGGAAAAATGGATCTGTTCTTTGATTTGCCATTTTTATGGCATATATCATTGTTAAAAGAGGGCCACTAAGCTTTTCTTTGTACTGCATTGGAAGTGACACGTTGCAAGAGGAGAAGTTCTATTTAAAATTGCATAATCAGAGATGAAGTGAAATGGAAGCGAAAGATCAAAGATAGGAAGTAGGGAGAGAAAGAAAGAGACCATGTACAGTATGGCTACACAGACATCTGAATTTCATTTTAATGAATCTCTGCTCAGGAAGGGAAGGGTAGCTGTTTGTGTACCAGGAGGGAAAGAACAGCCTTCTGCCACACACTGAGATTGTCTTTGAACATCATCTCTTACCAAAATGAAGGACTGCACTCTGCTTCATATTTCACAGAATTAGAAAAGACCAAGCTATTTTCCGATTCCCTGCATCTTGCTTATGTAACTTGCAGATGACAAGGCTGTGCAACCTCTGGCTGAGCCCTGGAAAATTTCCTTGTCGGTGAGTCAGGTGCTTGGCAAACAGTCTGGCGCAGAGAGCTTAGAGATGACAGTGACGTTAGAGGCGTTACCTGGGTACCAGAGCCCAGTTCGGAGTCTCTTTATGAAGGCTCTTCCTACTAGAAGTGTGCTGACCATCTTGACACTTCCTACCAGAAGTGTGCTGACCAGGCAAAGACAAGATGGCAAAGACATCTTGTCATTGCCAAGTGTCTCTGTTCTGCTGTATTGTGTCTCTGCTATGTGTGTTAATTATGTGAAAGTACAAAGCATCTGCCTGGATTGCACTGAAGCAGAAGAAAGCCACAGCCCTGACTGTTATCTAGAGATGTGGGTCAGCAAGGAAGGGGGAGAAGAGCTAGGCAAGAATGAGTCCTCAGCCTTTACGTGAATTTTATCTATAAAAATTCTTTCAGGGTGTGGGGATGACATTTAGTGCAGCAGGGCTGCAAAAGTGGGACTTCTGGGGAAGCACGGGGTCCCCCTTTTCAGTCTGCATTCCAAAACTCCATGCAGTCACCGTAACAGCGTTGGTTTGGAGGCTGTAGATCTGACTGAAAGCTAGAGGACAGGATTGCATGTTGTGCTGTAGGACTTAAGTTGAGAACTATGAAAAGGGAAGGATTAGACCCAGGGATGAGGGGAGAAAACTGAAAGAGATGCAGAACTGTTTCAGCGACAAACCCGTGGGTCAGCTGCAGTAGATCCCAATTACTATGTCTTTGGAAGTATGACTGAGAGGAGCCAGGAGGTTTGTACCACCAATTAGGTTCAGTCACTGCAGAGTGTCAAGACTGGGACAACTGTGAGATCCCCAAATACAGTCCATCCTATATCAATCTATGCAGCAAAGCTCCCTGGCAGTCCAGCCACGTTTAGAGCAATACTTAGCTCGGTGGTGCAAAGAGCCTTTTTGCCAGACTGCAGTGGGACGGGGACAGAAAGAGATTTTGCCACAGGGATGACCTGGTGACTAATGATTTTCATTGATCATATGCTTGCAGGAGAGAGCAATCTATCATCTGCAGTTCCTGCAGGCTTTTCTGCTGAAGGCTCTGAGAAAGCAAACGTGAGATGTTATCCAAAAGCAGGGCTGTGTGAGCCCATGGAACCTGATGGTGCCGCGCTCTCGTGGATGTACGAACGTGACAGTGCTGAAGACCCCAGCATCAGGAAATCTCTTGATGACTTCTACAAGATGTATTGCAAAAAACAGCCAGGGAGAATGGATCCAACTTACGAGGCTGCATCACGGTGTCTGTCACGGAAGATTTCGGAGCTGGCAAACCGGGATGGAAGTAAATATGCATCACGTTGCCTGCAAATGGCACAGTTGGTCTTGAACAGAGACGGGTGCAAGATCTTTCCAAACCACCCCCCTTCTGCCTGTTTTTCGAAGCCAGCTGAAGGAGAAGTCTTGTTGGAAGACAGAAAGAGAACACCTGGGCTCTCAGATGACATCCTCCAATTCCTCTTGAAACAAACACAGGCAGAACATAGCCCTGATGTGTCACACGAGAAGTGAGCAAGACAGTGGTTTGTTTCTGTCATTGGAGCTTTGCTTTCACTCTAAAAAGAGGTGACTTCCTTAGAAAGACACTCTTCTCCTGGCATCACCTTCAACACCAGACACTCCATGGAGGGATTCACCTGGATCAGACTTTGCCACCTTGTTCTCTGCGGGGCAGCACTGCACAAGGAGCACTTGTGGTCCCCATGTAACTGCTTGGGACGTGTCACTAATTGGGATGGGTGATGCAGTGTTTGTTGCTGGGACATCAAACATGATAATTTAAATCTGCCAGGCTTTTAAACTGACCTGCATTTCTACCCCAGCTGAGTCGTGGCCCTGCCCAAATTCAGCCTCTGTGTAGGCATGGATGTCCAAGTGCTGTTGATTAGAACAGACTGTTTGAATGAACTTGGCATGGTATGCCCCAGACCTAGAGAGAGAAGCTTAACATTTTATTCTGTTCCTGGCTGATACTGTAACATGTATGCCTCCACTGGGATGCCTGTTAGCTGTATGTGTTTACCTGCAGACATATGATCCCACAGATCATGACTGCAAATGCAGGTGAGCTTTTCCAAGAGAAAAAGTGTGTATGTGCATGAGAAAGAGAAAATACAGTTTCTGAGCATGTTCCATGACAGCACTTCTGTCCTTTTTACCATCACCCCTCCAACAACCTTCAGTTCCTTTCTGTCTTTCATGATGGTGCTAATGAGATCCCTGGAGGAATGTTCCCTTTAAAATAAAACAGGTCTCTCTGAGTCCAAGAAGGCTGATGTCAGTCAGCAACAGAAGAATGAACCCCCACACAACCACTTGAGGTCTCTCTCTTGGAGGCCTCCTTGCTCAGTGGTTTCTTTGCTGTCTTGCTCCCTGTGCCAGGCAGACAAATGTCTTTGTGCTTATTTTCCACCCACTGGCTTGTCCCCTGAAAAAGGGGATTGCTGTAGTGATGTTGCTTGCTGACTGAGGAGGTCATTCTCCAGTGTGGATGTGATCAAGGTGACAGCATAGGGGCAAAGAAGAAAGGATGGACAGTCAGGGTCTCAAAGGTCAACGTTAAGGTTCCTGCCTAATGTGGTTACTCCAGTACAGCCACGCTGCTTGCACCAGTTTTAGTATTTGATCTTCAGCGTTTCAGTTTGGAGACAGCCCTTACCTTCCTAGCCCAGTTGCTGAGCCCTCTCATCAGCTCCCTTTCCACACTGGCCAGATATCAGGATGGGTTTTGGTGTTCATGCACATCAGATTCCCTGCTTCAGTTTCACACAGGGCTGCTATTCCTGCCTTGCTGCCCCTGGCAGATTGGCACAGCAGCTGTGCTCTGCAGGTGTTTCCAGCAAAGGCAATGGAAATTTGGCTGTTAACTTTAATCAGAACAGGAAGAGGCCTTGCTGGCTACAAGTTATGGCCAAGGTCTTAGGACTTGGTGCAAAGTCTCTTTGCAAATAGATTTATACTGGAACTGCCTAGTTTAGTTTCCTGTCCTTGAATCATCATGGAACTGATACATCTGGCTTCTTGGTGGTTCCACTTGTTTTGCTTGCTTGCTTTTATGGCAGAGGTGCTGTACATGTGCTGGAGGGCACACAAAATATTGAAGCAGACCCTCAGCTGCTCCCCTGCTACTCAAGTTAATGGTGCTTGGGAAAAAAAAGAGTTGAGATGAGAATGCATCAAACTGTGGCAGAATCCAGATGAAAGCATCCTGCAGGCAAAAACTATAGACAAAGGTGATACCAACTAGTTTGGCAATAGATACAGCTGGAAAAAGGAAACATGCTCCTGAGTGTGCTATCAGTAATTACAGTAACACTACTGGCCTCTCTCTGCCAGCTCACATTGCTTAACCACCACAGATCTGTCACAGCTACAAGGGCATTAATACTGACAGATATAGGGATCTATTGCTAAGGATGGACAGGGAGGAAGGAAGGTCTTCAGTGTGAATCAGATGGTGTTGCTTTTAATTTTTTGCCAGCATTTATGCTGTTCCACACAGTTAAATTTGTTGCTGTGCAAAACCCTTTAACTGCCGTTTGAAGGGAAATAACCTCCTGGGAAGAGAGAGACTGAGAAATCAGAGGTCTGCATCTGAATCCCTTTAGTTGCTGTATTTGGTTTAGTGATGAATTGGTCTGTGGTTTGGGTTAGCTTTGAAACCATCTGGTCTCCTATTCATTTTCTTAAAAAAAGACCAAAGATGTGCAATTTCCACAAAGAAGGCTTGCAGCAAAATACGAAGTTCCTGTTCCTTAGGAGAGTCCTGCTGCTACTCATGTCTGAGAGATACCTACTGGGGTTTGATGGAAAAGAAGCCCTAATTGACTCTAGTATGACCCCAGATTAGCTCTAGAGACAGACTTGGTTTTCCCCACTCATAACAAATGTGAAGTGTCTACCTGGAGCCCCTCTTTGGGGTGTACACAGGGTGCTCCTCCTGAAGCCTGATTAACCTGAGCTGCCATAATTTTATCCCCTTTTTGAATGAGATATAAAAACATTCAAGGGAATAGCTGTTAATTTGTTATCAAGTGTTTTAAATGATGGCAAAATGAGGTGATCTTTCTTTGGAAGAGGTGTGTCCATGCAGGAAGTTAATCTGGGGTCCCCCTGTGGGGGGATCATGCCACTTCTCTGCACAGAGGGGAGGGAAGGCACCTCCAGTGAGCTCATTCTTCTGCTTCAGCTCCTCTGGGCTCTTTGGGCTGCACAGCCACTGCCTTTAACATCCCAGTTTTCTCATTAGAAATTTCTGGGGCAGCAAGAAAAGAGATAAGAGGACTCATTACTCTCGAACCCTTTAGGTAATGTGATGTAAGCAATAACAAAATAAAGAATGGATGGTGGCTGCTGAAAGAGCATGAAGATAGATACTGGCAGAGGAGAGCGTGAAACTGTTCAATTTTAAAGACCAACGTAGGCAGAACAGGCTGGATGCAGCTGAAAAATCTGGATTATGACTCATATCTACAAATCTTGGCTGGCATCTTGCAGAGGACATGGTAAGCTCTGTGCTAATGAAGCATGCAGTCTTTTGAAAAGTTTGCACCCCTTGCAGTCAGGAGTGCCTGCAGTTTTGTGTGCTGCTCACTTCCAGTGTCCTGGAGGTATGACCATCCATGGCTTCTTCGAGTTGAAAAGACAGTCTTTTTGCATGTGAAGTACCAAGAGTGGTGTGAAGCCCTCACAGAAGTGTCCTGTGTTCTGTCCATTTCTCCCCAGCCCGTGCAATAATCTCTGGGAAACAGGTTTTTTCCTGAGGAGTGAAGTGCTTTCCTCTCTCTCTGGCTTGCCCTTAACTTAGCTTTGACACTTCTATGGTTTCAGCACTTATCAGAGCACAAGTCATCCTCTCAGAGGCCCTTTGCTGTTGGGTTCTCTCCATTCACTTTGTTTGCTTCTCTGACCCACCCCATCATTTTATTTTTCTTCTCCACTGCAGTATATAAGGCAGGAAATAACCTGTTTTCCTGATGGTGAGGAACCAGGTAATGCTGGACCGCATTGTACCCAAACATGCTCCACCACTGTGAGCTGCTTTGGTTCAGCTTTCAAAAGCAGACTCAGCTGTAACCACTGAACATTTAGCTGCCAGGCAGAAACATGCACCTGAAGTTACAGTCTCCCTGAAACTCCCCTGCCAGTTGATGCCTGTGCTGTGTGCACACTGGTCAAGGTGTCCTGCAAGTTGCCCCTTTGTGCAATAGAAAACGTCCCTCTGAGTTGTTGTCTTTCCCCTGCTCTAGGACAAGCACAACTTGCTGCTCAGCAGGACTGGCTGAGCAGAGCTGCCCAGCAGGGTGGTCCCATGCACTTCCAGTGCCCCCCTGCTTCTTGCCTGCTTCAAGACCTGTAGGTGGGAATTTTCCCAGCTTTCCCTAAATAATGCTGCTGTGGCTCAAGAGGAGGAAGAGCAGGGACTCTTGATTCCTTTGCTTTCCTTCCAGGGAATGTTTTTCCGTTTGTGATCCTCCTGAGGAAAGAGGCTCTGATGGACTTAAACTGGACAGTGTTCTAGAAGGGGAACTCACCCTACCTCCCCAACTTGCTGGCCTCCCCAGCACTGATGGTTCCCATCTCCACCGCGAAAGCCAGCTGCTGTCACCTCTGTTCATGCCCTTGTGTGCTCTGGTAGTGTATGGAGGCTGCTTTTGCGAAGACATTTTGTAGCTTACATTGCAGAACAAATCCAAGGGTTTTTTTCCTTCTGCTTGTTCGAGGCTCACAGCAAAGGACCAGCTCTGAGCCTAGCTTAGGACACCACCTGAAAACCTACAACACCTTTCAGGGCTGTGGGTGGACAAGACCCCTCAAGATCTTGAAGTGAAATGTGTAAGTGAAGTAGAAGATGGGGAATAACATCAGTCCCATAGGGTATGACTAGCAAGGCCAAAATTGATCTGTCATTGCCAAATAGGAGGAGCACAGGACATGGCGAGGACTTGACAGCCATTTCCCAGGGATTTCCCTGATGCACAGCCCAGATCCAAATCCCACTCAAGGTCTGTTAGAGATGTGTACTCTTTGGATTGGGTATTTTCCACCTGAGCTGGACCGGCATCCTTCAGTGTCTCAGAGAGGTGACTCATACTGCTGCAGGCACAAAGCCCTCTGCCCATGCACACCAGACACCTGAGTTGCCTTGGGGCTCATCTTAAGGCTAGGTCTGGCAGGCTGTGAGTGCTGCCTCTGTTCCCAGAATACATAAATGCCTGATCCAAACTCTTTTTGTCATCCTTGATGACTCCTGCTATTAAATCATTCCCCACTTTCCTCAGCTGAGAGCTTCTCCAGAATGTTTGGTATCAATGGCCTCTCTGATGCTTACTCTAACAGAATTTTTATTTTCCCCTCCCACACAGCTGCCGGTGGGAGGTACTGATTCATGCCAACGACCTACCCAGTCCTGGAGTCCAAAGGCAGCCAGGGAGAGAGCTGAGCTCCTGCAACAGGCAGGGGCTGAAGCAGGTCCTCAGCAGGTGTCAGTGAAGTGAGTGGAGACAGGGCCATTTACACCAGTGGAGGATTTTCCCCCAGGAGTTTGAGGTGTTTTGGTATGCCTGGATATTTCGGGATGTATGGTTGTTAAATTCGGTGTACAACAGGCAGTATACATCCTGTGTAAATGTGTCTGTTGAGCATTGGTGATTTTGTGTGGGGCATATGTTTTCCCACAATACAGAAGTTCATTTTAAAAATACCCTATTCTGTAGGCTTTCCCTAATGACTGTTTTCGCACACACATCTATTAGGCAACAACATATGTCAGCATTTCTTCCTTAAAAGTAAAATCTGGCGCATACATAACACACAGAGCATGAAATAATAAGATGTGATAAAACAGTAGCTGGAGCTAACCAAAGCCAGAAAACTCATGGCTGGAAGGTCAAGCCTTTATTTAAATCCCTTTTGCAATGGCCTATTTGTTTGCAGGTGCTGTGAATTGAGAGGGAAAGTCTTGCAATGAAAGAACATCTGTCAT